CCCCAAAACCCCAAAACCCCAAAACCCCAAAACCCCAGGTGGAAATAACATAATTGATTCATGAATGTAAATAATTTTCTTCCAAAATCTTATTAAACGATAGAAAATTTTAGAGAACTTCGAAGGCTGCCTTGATCAAGCGATAGACCAGACTCTAATAAACAATACGTAGTACCTTCATGACCTCTTAGAAACACACAAGCTATGCCGTAATCTTCTGAAAGCGACTTTTATATTCCTTGAGCCTTACCATAATCTCTCCTAACAATAACACTTCCAAGGATTGCCAGGAAGAGTTTGATTCTCAGATTAAGACAGCAAGTGACCTAAGAGATTCTTTCAACTTCGGTAGAGTTTAGTTGCTCAAAAGAGTTTGAGAGAAGAGTAATCACCAAATAATTAGCATGGTGACATCTATATTCTTGTCGAAATAAAGTTCTTAATGATTTCTAACTATGAGCCCAAAGAAATCAAAAGGAAAAGAAGTAAAAGCTAGTGCCTCAAACTATAGTGAAGTTTAGCTCAAGTCAGGGGGGTTCAGAAGCCAGCCTGCTGAATTATTGAAGATTTTCTATTTAAAATGGCAGCACAGAAGGGACCAAATGACGAAATATCAATAAAATTATGATATAGCTATTGCTATCCTTAAAAGACGGAGCTCATTACTATTTCTGAATGGTTGAGTTTTATTGATACTACTAATTATGTTACGACCAAATTTTAAAGGGTAATTTAATTCATCAATTTTTTGACAATGATTATCTCAAGATATTAATAATATTGCATTCCAAATTGCAAGAATATGCTAAATAAGCCTTAAATATTGAAATTACTCTAATGACGTACTTCTGGCTATCCCAAAGGCATAATATTGGTCTAAAATCTCGAGGACTTAAAATATCAACACTATGTATCAAAAATCGACTTAATTTTGCTAAAAATGAGCTAAACAACTTATCTAGCATGAGAACCTCGTCTCACCTGCCCTATGGAATATCTACTCCTTTTCCCAGCTTGTTGGCAGTGGACCTATATAGGTGTTAGGTTAGCAAGTAGACATGAATGATTCATGAATCAATGAAATACTTACAAAGTTGTTTCACCAGGTTATGATTCCCACTCATGAATGACGCATTTGTTTGATCTTCGAAAGATACATGGCTGGATGTTTCTAGAAAAATGACTAAGAAAGAATTGAGCAGTTGGAGCCATTTCTGGGGCTTTAATAATATCGAGATGTTTTAGAAAGTCTGCAGACGGCTAATAGCCATCCAAATGTCCATATGGATTTTTTACTAAATTTGAATTTTGGGCAGAATTAGTTGAGCAATGATTTTTGTTGTGGAAATCAATATTTCAGACCAAGTTTGTAGAAATGAGGATGAAATGAGGATTTTCTTTTACTCTTTAGGGGTATATACATCACAGTAAGACTTGTATTTTGGGCAAGGTGTCGAGTGGCTTCAGGTCGGTTCTTAATAGCTATTTTAAGTCAATGGGAAGTTCTTGATTCAACACAAGCTTCTTGCTTACTCAGATCGACTGTGAACTAAAGTTTTTGATGAATTAAGTATCTTGTTATGAATTATTTTTAATTGTTAAAATAGTGATTCATGCATAATTTTATCAAAAGCAAACTGGGCTTCTCCAGCTGTTTGGAGTAGTTGGAAGAGATCTCACTTAAGCCTAGTGACTTTAAACTAGCCACTCACTACCAAGAGCACTCCTATTCAAATTGGAGAAGAATTATCTTAAAATCTTGCTACGATTCTTGCAGTCATAAATAATTGAGTAATAATAATTTTAAGTCATGAGCATCTTAGCTAGGCGGGATTGGAGAGTCTATAAAAGATTATGAACTCAAGCTTAACGTAATATTTCAGGCCTTAAACTAGCTTCATTATTTGAGGAAGACATTTATAGATCTATAAATATTTTTGCATCCAAAATTGGTAATAAATTACGTAAGACTTGTACTATCAATGAGCAGATTTATAAACAATGGGAAATTTAAAGCATGACAAATCAAACAATAATTTTTAAAGAGATGCTGGAAATGATTTAGTTGAAGTAGCCACTCTCACTTTTTTAGAGGGAATGAATGCACCTCACTGTTTACCAACAGCTCTAAATAGAAGAAGTAGGTGAAAAATCATCGAACATTAAATGAAACTTGCAAATGAATAGAAGGACATCAGACACACCCAAGTTATTATATAAATTTCATTATTTCTCAGGTTACAGTTGAATTACTCCCAATTTTCATCTTTGCCCAGGTGAGATTCTTGGGAAATATGGAAGACTTTAACAACAAAGCCTCATTAAGGTCATGAAGTTACATTTTAAGATATGTGAGAAGGCATGAGGAGGTTTGATACCCCAAGCTCCATCACAGCAAATTTTCTGTCATTGTTCTAATCAATATCTCCAAAGCAGCAATGGAGGAGAAGACTTTAACAAAAATTCACGAATCACTTAAATTATAAAGAGACTATCTCTTTCTAATGGTATTTTATTCATTTGAAGACTTTCTATAATTTCTCTTGCTGAGCTTCCTCCGATTATGTACAAGCAAGCTGAAAGCTCTTTGATGCAGATCTGTACCAGAAATAGGCCGCTAGGAGTCATGAAAAGAGCTAAAATGAGTGGTAGAGGTTTTGGCATTCAGAGATATTTTAATAATTTATAGCTGTATGTAAGCTGAATTTTAGTAAACAGTGGCTAACCCCCTCATTCTTTGTTGGATATCCTAGCAACTTATGGTATGGGTATAGATAAATTAGAGCAGTTTAGTACAAAAATTCGGATGAGTAAAGCTATTGGTAAAAAATTGTTAGTTTTGATGAATAATAGTTATGAAAACTAGTACTTGAAATGCTATAACATGTTGTTAAATCGCTCGTTAGTTATGCTAAATAGGAGTGCTTCTACTAATCTGAGAGCAAAGCCTTGTTAAAGCAGCAAGTTTTGCATCATTTTATTGGTTTTATATTTCTCTGAAATATATCACTATCGAAGTAAATGAAATAGCCAAAATTTTATAGCAATTCTGATTGCTGAGTTAGCAAAATTAATGGTATTTCTAATACTTTTCTTATAAAATTCAGGTCAATCCCAATCGTTATCTGGATATGTCCCTTCTACAAATTTTGACTAATAATCAGCCAATCTGGGCTCTCAAAGCCTTGGTCTGATGACTAAAAAGCCATATCACTTGCTTTAAAAAAATTTGAAAAATAAGTTAACAATCAGAATTTCATCTTATTTTTAACAATAGTTTCTTGAGCAGCCATCTAATAGCGTCCTAATTTTATGAGAGAACGAAAATGTATGGCAGTAACAAAATTTAGAGTAAATTTTTTAATAAATTTATTTCTCACCCAAATAAGCCACCCGAAATGGTATACTAAGGTTCGAAATTGACACCCTGAAACCTGGTTGAAATCAACATCGAATTTTAAATGATGCAGCGGCTTCACTCCGGATGCAATTTTGTTAGGAAATAGAGGGATAGGGTTAACAGCATATTCTAAACTCTCTTCTAGTGGGAAATATTATTAGAAAAGCACTCTCAATTTATAAATTGGGTCATGAGAAATTACTCAAGATGCCATTTGTAACTTCCTGCCTTTACATTGACGAAATTAGCAAATTAAAAATAAACCTAGAGTTTGAGGACACAAGATGGTAGTCTAAGACAAGGATATGGCACCTTCACTAACATAGCTCTCAGGACTTTGGGAATATGATCAATTCCTAATCTTATAACTTATGTATCGTATATCTTTGTAAATTATTTTTGAACGTTAGAAGCTTTAAAGCATTAGAAATAGGTTAAACTTGGTGAAAATCTCCTAAATAAACTCCTGCAGAAATTCTTATAAACCCTCGTGTAGATGAGAAGGCAAGTAAAGTAGATCCTCAAATAATATCAGGTGGCCAAACTCCACCACTGAGTTGGGAGATAGATAATTTTATTTTTCTCCATAACTAATGTTAAATATTGGATTGTTTGAGAATAAAACCTCAAAATGCTAAGAGAACACAATGCGAACTTGCTTTTTAAATCTTAATAGTTAGAGTCAATTTTGAAACCGATAAATTATATGTGAAAAGCCAGGACTCAAGATAGGAGAGGATTTTGAAAGAAGTTTATTTGAAAATTATCACAAATTAGTTAGCTTGCATTTCTCTCTCGTTTAGAAGATTCACGAATGTAGGCTTGATGTATATCGTCTTGCTTATGAGTTCTCAGGTGAGCCTATAATAGCATTAGATGTCTTTTATTGTGCAAGATCCAATAACTTATCGAAATTAAACTCAATACAAATGGGTATCAACAATTGAAAGATGGATGCTTACAGTCAAGTTGTACTTCTCGGTGTACCTCTTCTTGCAAATCTGGCACTGGAACTGTCTCCTCTCCTCGATGCTTCTGTGTTGGTGCTGTTTTGAGTGTTTCTTCAGGTTACCTTTCTGTGTGAAAGCTTTGGAGCAGAAGCTGCACTTGTACGGTCTGATGCCTTCGTGCATTCTGGCATGGTCAACCAGGTTCCAGATCTTGGTGAACTCTCGGTTTCAGTCTTCGTACTTGCAGATGTAGACAGTGATGGTTCTGCCACTCACAGGAAGTGTTTCAACTCTCTTGGCATGCTTGAAGGGCTTGAGCAAGTTCTCATACAGTTCAGTCTTGGAGACACCAGGCTCATGCTTTGTAGAAACTTCTTTGAGTTGCTTGTAGGTCTCATAGTGTAGCATATCTTTAGTGCCATTACTAGAAGGATCTTTATGCTCTTCAGTATCTTGGAGTTGTTTTGTTTGCTTTTGAATTGAGTTTAGAGTTTCTATAATCTCTTTCAGCTTAAAGAAATAATTTTTTTTCATAACAATAATATAGATTACCTATTGGTAGTCTTGGCTTATCCCTGACTCAAATAAATGATTTATTGGGGCAATTAGTGAGTCAATAAGTGTTCATATTTTTAGCAATCATATAAGCCAGAGGAGCAACAATCGCTTTGTATTTAGCTATAAGATCCAATTGGTTGAAGATCAGCATCTTATCCAAAGTCTGAGAATCCATGATGTTATTTTATCTTATTAATTATTTTAAATATCAGCTTATCATTGCAATCCAGGGGTTTTGGGGTTTTGGGGTTTTGGGGTTTTGGGGTTTTGGGGTTTTGGGG